ACCAACGTGTCAGTGTTGGCTCAAACGAGTAAGGCTGCATTGAMAACTCTTCTGTTTTTGACATTTTACAACCCGTTTGTAAATAAAAATTGTATGTGCTGCTGGTAAATCTGGTGGAACTCTGCTACCAAGCAACAGGGTGGAAAGGATCGTTGGTAGCTAGACCTGAAGGGGCGGGGTCTGAAGGGTCTCATTTGCATTTAAAAAAAGACCACACCAAAACAAGTTGATGCAGACACACCTCAGAAAAAGGGGTGGAAAGGGCCTTGTAGAGCTACAATAACCAGGAATTCAGACTAAAACACTGCAGTTCCACTTTAAACCACAACTAAACAAATTAAATGGTAAAAATAAATGATTTAAAAGCATAATATGTCCACTTTAAGGAAATTTGTTTTTATTGTCTTTTAAGCTGTTCTTTTGTGATTTTTATAGCATGCTATGAGTTGATTTGCATGGCACCAAAAGATTATCTTTGTGGTGCTTGGATGGTTGACTTGGTAGKTTGCCTTTGTTTTGGGCAGCATGGTAGAAGTGCTCATTGTGCAGTGCAACACTTTCTCAATCGTTCCCCACGTTGCCCTACTGGTTACAGCATCTTCCCAGGTATTGAAGTCTAAATGGCACTTCATGATATTATTTTTGAACCTTTCCCTTTGACCCCCTGAGACATGTTGTCCTAGTAAAAGCTGCAAATACAAGATTTGTTTYGGGAGGCAGACGTCAGCCATGTGAATTCCATCCCGACTTCATGTGAGCAGTTGTTGGGCATTAGTGGCAGTAATGGTGGGGATGTACTTTACCACACAGAGGACCTGTTTTTGCTCATTTTGTGGCCTAATAAATCTTGTAATAAAAAGGTGAGAGAAAAGAGCAACAGTAAAAATAACACTCTTCTATAATGGTAAAGTGTTTATTTTATTTGTTTATTTTATTTTATGACACCCATGGTTTGAAAAATTGGACTTCAGTATGAATCACCACTTGTGTTAATATGAAACACCATCATTTTATTTTGCTGATATTGTTCAAATCTTGTGACAAAAGTGATAAGCCAACATGTTTTTTTTTTTTTTACCATTTACAGAAAGGCAATTATTTCACATTTTTAAAATAAAATTTAGTAACAAGATAGCTGCCAGAGGGCTTCCTCTCCTCCTGTTTTCAGGCCCTGTCATTTTGTTCCACATCTGTAACAGGCTCCAAAAGTTGCTGGGTTCATATTTTATTGGATCAATGATGTCTTAAAGTTGAAACCAGAGATGCACTGTTTATACAGCTACTGTGCATTATGTTGTTTATGCTCTGTATTTCATTTATTCCACTCAAGGACTCTGGGGAGATAATTAATTTAGCTGAAAAGAGTCAAACAGGTGAYTCTGAGATTATTTAAAATGTGTGTTTTTTATAGTGTATGTGCCTTACATAAAAAAACTAATTCTCAATAGACTGCATCTAAAGACTAGGCACCATTACTTTTGCCTTAGTCCACCATTAGTTGTGTGTCTACTCCTTTTGTTGTTGTTGTTGTTGTTGTTGTTGTGTTACATATTGTAAGACTAAAGAAAATACAGTTATTCTAATTTCGGCAGTGTTGCTATGCTGTTAATTCAGTAGACATACGTATTTATTTGTTTTATGAACTGGAACTATTGTTATCTGGGGACATGATTTTTATCTAAACATTTTATTATTATTTTAACAGCTGTGGCCATGTAATATATATGACAAGAATGTTTTAAGTTCCTATCTTAGCTGGGGCTTTTCTGTAGGTTATTTGCRTGTTGTTTCTGCTGGTCTGGTGTCTTCACAGCACCCACAAACACAGTTTAAAGTTTTAGTTCTGTTTCTTTTTTTCCTATTTAATGTATATTTGCAGATACATAAATCTTCGTTTTTGCTTCTTGGTTAGTTATTTATCCAGGTCAATGTACTATTTTTAGAACAAAGATTAGATTTCCATGAGGACTAATTTCTCAGAACACCCGCAGAAAATGCATCTATATACAGAATCACTGGAGGGAAGACTGGATAAAACCACAAAACCAAAAAAAAGAGCAAGTAGAGCAGAATGTAAACTCCATTTTTAGTGTGGATTGCTCATCTCAGGTCAAAGGAAAGATACAGTGCAGCGTCTAAAAAGAAAATGCCAAAGGGTAAAGGGAATGGGCTCTGTTTGGACTTCCAGTTGGATGACTTTTACAAAAGCTGGATCCAAACTGTGCCGGGACATGGGAAAGCAARTGTAGGTTGGGAGAGACATTTTACATCATCAAGGAGCCCCACTGTCCCCAAACACACAACCAAAAATTGTATGCCTTTAAGGCAGGGATGAGGGTGAAGTGTGGTTGGGTAGAAAACCCCAAGAAACAACCCTGGACCATCTGAAGCCAATGGATTCCAAGCTCTTCTTTGGTGGGGAGTTTTCAGCCACGTTCCATAATCCCACACCTTTAAAGGTCAGTGAGAACCAGATACTGTATACTTACTGGGCCAATCAAATATCAGGTACAGCCTTTGCTTTTTGCCATAAATGATGTGGACTATGTGCAATCAACAAAAGAGGCTGTTCCCTTAAACATGACTTATTTATTTATTTATTTATTTATTTATTTATTTATTTATTTATTTATTTATTTATTTTAC